GCCATGTCAGCACCAAGAAGACAGTGGCTGAAACATGGTAAGCAAAGAAAATCTTGCAGAAAGATAAGCCAGAGCATTGTTGGTTGTGTGTGGCAGTCAGGAGGTGTGTGCAGAGATGGATCTTTAAGAGAAAATGCATGGCAGAGTGTACGGTCATTTTTCAGTGTTCAAACTAAAAGCAGTGACAAATGCTCTTCATGGGCAGCCCCAGCCAATGACTGACCATGAAGGGAAAGGTGGGGTCTAGGTGTTTGAGCTCAGTACTCTTCCCCTCTAATATGTCCTTTGTTCTGGAGCTCCTGACTGCACTGACCTTGGTGTTCTCCCTACAGCACCAGACTCAGAAGCTCTTCCTACCCAGTGTCTTTTCTGTTTCCCCTTCAACCCAGATGTCAGGCTTGTATTTTCCTACTGGCTCCTTCTTGTTCCCACCCCCTTGGCTATTTCAACTATGTTTTTGAAGAACTGAATGATTGTGAATCAAACCCACCCACATTCACTCGACTCCTTCTGCACGGGGCTATTTCCCTTCCCACTTTGCCATGTTGTAGTTTGGTTATGAGCAGCGGCTGACAGATGGGGCTTTGGTTAAATTTTAATTTTATTATTATTATAGCAAATGGAGCAGATGTACCACAATAAAAAGCAATGAACAGGATGGAGGCATTGACACATGCAGTACCAAAAAAAAAAAAAGTTTTCTGTACTCCCTTGAGACCATGGAGGGAGCTGGCGGAAACAGCCTCTGTTCTGAAAGCTGGCAGTTCCTTCCTGTGGTAAAATACTGAATATTTCAAAGTCTTTTTGTTCAAAACATTAATGGTTTTGTTCCTAACTCCCTTCCCCAAAGAACGGCCTCTACTTCCTCTCTCAGATGCTAGATCAATCCAAGATCCGATCTCTGTATAAATGACTACGAATGTGTTGGGACTAATGATGGAAACTGGGATTTTACTCCAGAGGAGATTCGAGAGTTAACTACATCATGGAGAAGGTAAACCCACACACATTGCTGGTGGAAGGGTCACATGGTGCAGAGACTTTGGAAAACAGTTTGACAGCTTTCCAGAAGTATAAACAGATTTACCCCTAAGATGCAGCAGGCTCCTTCTTAGTATATACCCAAGAGAAATGAAAGAAGAAAAGTATACAGGAAGAAAAAAACATTATTCATGAAAGAAAAAAAACTAACCAAATGTGTATCTTCAGATGAGTAGTTTATTGTAAGATTTATCTTTAGTTGTGTAGATATGTATATCATGTGTGGGCATATCCAGATGAGTGCAGGTGCCTGTGGAGACCAGAAAAGGGCATTAGGTTCCCTGGAGTTTGAGTTACAGGTACCTGTGCAGGCCACTTGATGTAGGTGCTGGGAATCAAACTTGTAAGAGCAGTACACACTCTTAAACCCTGAGCTATTTCTACAGTCACCATGCAAAGTTTTGAGATATTTTTTAAAGATGTATTTATTTATTTTATGTATGTGTGTACACTGTCGCTCTCTTCAGACACACCAGAAGAGGGCATCAGATCCCATTACAGATGGTTGTGAGCCACTATATTGTTGCTGGAAATTGAACTCAGGACCTCTGGAAGAGCAGTCAGTGCTCTTAACCACTGAGCCATCTCTACAGCCCAGAGATTTCCCCACTCCCCTGCTCCCATCAGTTTCATCCAGCATAACTCCTTGGAAGCATTTAGTACACCTGCTACCTAGGGTATTCACACATACTTATCTAACCAGCAGACCCAGTTCTCAATGAAGGAAGTGAAGGGTTAAACTATAGCAAGGGTAAGTTTATGCCATACCGAGAGAGCAGCTGATCTCATAAAGGGTAAGGGTGGCTTATTCCAAGTGCATAAGAAATGCTGGCTTAGTGATTGTCTTAGTTTTCTGTTGCTACAACAAAGTACCAAGATCGGACAATTCATAAACAAAGGGATTTATTTAACTCAGTGTTTTCAAGGCTAAAGTGTAAAAAGATTTACCCTAAGATGGAGCAGTATATACCCAAGATGGGTTGTTAGGATAAGTTATCAGGTGAAGTTGCTTGCCACACAAGCCTGTCAATCTGAGTTTGATCCTCTGATTTCATAGTCGAAGAAGTGAACCGACTCACTCGAGTTTTCCTCTGCCCCGCCCCTACACACATGGTACTTGTTCATCCTTCACCACAATAATAAAATTAAAATTTAACCAAAGCACCATCTGTCAGTGCTGCTGAGGGCCCTTCTTGACCACACTACATCATGGCAAAGAGGGAAAGAAAATAGCCATGTACAGCAAGAGTCAAGTGAATGGGGTGGTCTTAATTCAAAACCACTCAGTTCATCATAAACATTATTTCCTTGCAAGAGCAAAACCTATTAACTTCTATCAGACCCCATATCTAATGGGTTCAACTGCTTCAACCCGGGCACACTGGAAACCAAGCATCCATCACATGAATCTTTGAAAGACAGACTGTATCTTAAGTGTGGTTGAGGCGGCTCTCTGTGAAGTTGGAGCCACCTATTAGGATGTGGCATATGCATTTAACCAGAGACTGCATGGTTCTCCACTCTCAAATGGGAAGAACATGTGACTGAAGGAAGCAGTATTAATAGGCCACTTATTTTCACTGCCATTAACTCACTGGGAATTCTGTTCACTCTGTCTGTAGAGTTGAAGGTCCTGGTACCCAGCATAGTGTTCTGTATCTGTGGACCCAGTAAGTATCTTGTTGAACTACAACCCATGCTGAAGTTAATGCATGTGGTGGTTTGAATGAAAAATGTTCCCCACAGGCTCATGTATGTGAATTCTTGGTCCCCATTTGGTGGAGCTGTTTAGGGAGATTATGCAACTTTTAGGTCTTTCTGGAGCAAGTAAATCACTGGGGAAGACTTTGAGAGTTTATATCTTTGTTTCATGTCTGGGTCACTCTCTTTATTTCCTGTGTCTGGATGAAAATGGGATCAGCCATCTTCTGGTGCCTGCTTCCAAACCATGTCTGCTGTTATGGACTCTGGCCCTCTGGAGCCATAATCCAAAATAAATGTTATTCCTTAACTTGCTTCTGGACATGGTATTGTATCACAGCAACAGAAAAGTCACTAATACAGGGCACAGTGTTTTTCTTTGTTCAGGGACTAACAAAGAAGAGGAGATGCTAACTTGTCAGGGATATTAATCCTACTCAATGGGAAGGCTCTTCAGGGGTCTTTACAAACAGATCAGGGGTACCAAAATTGCTTATAGTAAAGTGGACAGGATCCTGAATTAATTTGCCCTCTCTTAACTGTTTTGAGCACTCTGTCTTTTGTTCTTCTCCTAAATCATTGTGCATGTGGCACTTTCAAGACCTAGGTCTTGTCAGATAGATGGAACAGGAAAAGTCACAAAAACACAACGTGATACAAGCTAGGGTCATCTGGTGGAGAGGGAATCTTACTGGACAAAATCCCTCCATAGGACTAGAATGTGGGCACATCTGTAGGGCATTGTATGATGAATGATGGGGTAGGGCCCAGATCACTTTAAGCTGTGCCCTCTCTGGGCAGGTGGTTCAGGATGGTATGAGAAAACAGGCTGAGCAGACCAGGAGCAAGCAAGCTGGTGAGCAGCACTCTATTATGGCCTCCTTATCAGTTCCTGCCTCCTGGTTCCAGCCCTGTTTGAGTTCCTGCCCTATGTTCCTTTAGAAATTCCTTCAGTGATGTAGTGTAAGCTGAAATAAAGATTCTCCCCAAGGTGCTTTTGGTCATAGTGTTTTATCACAACAATAGAAGCCCTAACCCTGACGCAAAGGATTTGAGGTCTTTGAGTCACAAACATCCCAGTGATGACATTTTGAAAGGGAACAGACAAAGATTACCCTAGCCCTAGATTCTATACTCTCTAGAACGTCCACAAACAGCTTTGGTTTGTGCAGTGACATTTTAACCTCACCAATTCAAAACAACAGGAATAGCAATAGGTTTCTTGTCTAGTGTTTGTTATATAAAGGAGGGAATGTATGAAAGCTCTTGGCCAACTTCTGCAAAATTGCCAACATGGAGAAAAGTCTTTATGTTAAAGACCTAAAAACTATTTTAGAGTAATTCATTAAGGACCCACATACTCATCAACAAGTTATCACAATTATCAGGTCATGACTCATCTTCTCCTACGTATCCCTCCTTTTTTGGGTTAAGGAGTCAAATCCTCACCAATGAGCACACACAGAGTTTTCCTATATGTATGAATCAGGAAAGAAATTTCAATATTTGAGTAATAAATTTAAATTTTAAAATTAAAATTTTGATATTTTAAAATTTTTATATCATATGTGTGTCTTTCTCCCCCTCTGCTTGTGTGCCTTTTCTCTCTTTCTCCCTCCCCCTACCTTGGTGGCTTCCCTGATCTTGGTCCTTGGGTCCAGTGAACTCACCCAAGAGCAGCTTCCCAAAAAACCTGTCTTCAATACATTCTAATCTGGCTTTTATTGGCCTATTTCACCAGCGGAGAAATAACCTATCAGTCCAAACTTTGAGAAGTGTTGTTTTACACATCCATATAGACTAGATTTCCCTAACTCTACTCACTGGTGGCCTTTCACTATGCTCTTTTTCCTGTTTGAGTCCATTGACTAAATTGCTTATAGTGCTTAAAATCAGTGTTTCTGGGTAGATTCCTTGGATTTAGATTTTGGTTTTGACATGTTTGATACATGACTTGAGCAGACCACTTAATTGTACTATGAGGATTAAATACTTAAAAAAAAAAGTGTTTATGTAGTATAATACTGGTGCTTAGCCAATGTTGAATAAATACGACTAGTTTCCAACCAAGGAACTAGAGAGGGACTCATTGTCTGCGGAAGGCCTTGAATATCGTAGATTTTTGTTGTGTTTTGCATGCTTTTAACATTAGTAGGTGAACTCCAGATAACAGCCTGGAAGCAGTCTCAGCCTATTACCTAAGTCAGGCAAAGCCACAGCTTTAGACACCACAAGTCACATGACCCCGTGAATCACGTGACTCCGGAAACAACATGGCTGCGCCCGCGCGAGAGCCGGCTCTCCATTGCTGCACCGGGCTGGCTCAGGTCTTCTTGCTGCTGGTGCTGGCGTGCGGTGCAGCGGCGAGCGATGAGGTCGAGGCCGCGGAAGGTGCAGCGTCCATCACGGGCTCGTGCGGCTGCGGAACGCCCCAGAGGGCCAGGGCCCATGGGAGCCCTGCGGCGGCTCAGCGCTACTCCCGGGAGGCGAACGCCCCGGGCCTGACCTCGGGCCCGCGACCGCTCGCGCTCACCAAGGTGCGCCTTCCATTCCTGGGGCGTATGGGTGCCGTCGGGCTGTGGCTTGAGGCCTGGCTGGGCCAGAAGAGGGGTGATTAGGAACTCCTGGGAAGGGTCTAACCACATCCCAAGTCTCTCAGCTACTGATCTCATTTGACAGGTGTCCTCCTCCCTGCTCCTCCCCAGCGGGAGATGGGCAGGAGTTTGTGGCTGTGTATATCACTGAGACTTAGAGAGTTTAGCTTGAAGAATGTTGTCCATTCTTTCTTACCTCTTCTTGCTCTCTTCCCCCTTCCTCCTCTCTGCCCTCCTGCTGAAGAGTGAGTGTAAAGGCTGATGGATTCGGGTTTAAGTTCTTGTTATAGTACCTGTGGAGACTGAGTCTCCCACCTTGCCTTAAACTCACTCTGCTCGGCAGGCTTGTATTTATTCTGTTGTGGTTCTAGTTCATAGGTGAGGCAACTGAAGCTTCATGAATCAAATCTTAGTGATGGAAATTTGGATGGTATTCCACCTATGAGGAATGTCTATATAGTGTGGCTGGATCAAGTCTTGTGTAGCTAAGGTAACTGTTGGCATACAGATTTATTTTGCCTGAGCCTTTTGTGTCAAGTTCAAGGATTAGAAAGTAGGAAATGGAAAAAGAGCCTTAGAGAAATAATTCTATGTGAGTTTATTTTATTGTTATGCACAAAACAAAAAACTATACAGTAGCAAGTGGAATCAGGATAGCTACAGTGAGGGAGGGAGAGACCTATGGATTCTCTATCCTTGAGAAGTTTGACACAGCACATGACTATAGACACAGTTGGACCCAGCATCCCCGGGCCCATTGTTGGCTGTCCCTTAGCCATCTTATGTTAGTGTAGCTCTGTTTTATAGAGTGCCTCCCATCTCCTAAACCAGTTGGAAGAGGAAGAGTTCCTTTTTGGTGGCTCCAGGAAAAGTTCCCAGATAAACTTTGAGCCATAGTCCTGTTCCCAGTTGAATCTTTGTGGTCAGAAGAATGCCACAATTGGCCAGGCTGGAATCTATACATTGAACTAATAAATTGTCCTATGCTATTTAAACTCACTGAGAAGTTTGCTCTGAGGGTGATGTTGGCTCCTTCATGGTAGACCCAAGCATGTTTGTCTTCAGAGTGTTCTTCAAGATCCCTTATCCCAGGGTAGATGAAACAGTGTATCCTTGAGTACTGGTGGGAGATACTTTCCCAGAAGGGAGACTCAGCTACTTTCTTGATACAAAGGGAAAAACAAAACCTGTGTTAGCAATGGCTAGTGGGAAGTCTCACCCAGGAGAAGACTTTCTGCCTTGGACACTTTTTTGTTGATCAAAGGCTCCAGTTGACTCTTTGATGCTTTGGGCTTCCCTAGACAGTTTCTACTGGATACTGTATCTGATCTGATGCTCTACAAGCCTGCTGTTTACCTAATAAACTCACTCACTGGAGATGGGAAACATGGCTGTCCTAGGTCACCGTGCATGCTGAACTCAGGTCTTTGTCACAGGACATGTAGTTGAGTCAACCATCTTGGGTCACACATGTTTAGTGAGCTTTTGTGAAGTGATTTTTTTCAAAGGAGACTTCATATGCTTCTGTTGGGTAGACAAAACTAGCAGTTGCTCACAGTGTGATAACGGAATGATTCTTGGCTACTTTATGCTTCAGTCTTTTAAAATTACGTGTTTGGTAAATGTGTGTGTGTGTTTTTTGTGTTCATGTATGTGCTTCCGTGAAAGTCAAAGTCTGAGTTTAAAGAGTCAGATCTCTTTAGCTACCTTTACATGGGTTCTGAGGATTGTGTTCAGGTTGCCAGGCTTGTACAATTAATGGGCTCACACTGTGAGTCTGTCTTGAGTGGTGGCAGCAGAAGCAGAAGAGGGTTTGAACTTCCCTTTAGACACGGGGAGAGTGGATTATTGGACACTGGTCTTCCCATGAAGACACAATTAAAATGGTGTTTTAATTTGACCCAGATCCCAGAGGAGTGAAACACCTGGATATATGGACTATCACAAGAATGGACTTTTTCCATTAGTAGCATGGATGACTTGATTGGATAAGTTAGTTAGTTATGATCTACTTAGAGCATTCTAGAGCTGTTTTCAATCTATATTCTCCAGAATGGAAACTTGATCTATTCAGCCTATCTCTGTTGGTTAATCAAAGAGCAAAGAAAGTAGGCCAGGAGTCCACAGGGCAAACAAGCTTCGATGGTGTTAGTATTGTTGGTATTCACCTGGAGGGAAAAGGGTGTAAAAAATATTAGTAATCATAGAGAAGTCCGATGGTGCAGTGTGAGTGCACAGCTTCCTGTGGTCTGTGGATTTGAGCTGAAGGACACGAACCCTATTCTCACAGCAAGACCTTGTCATCTGTAGACTTGATTTTTTCCTTTTTTCCACTTTCTTTAACTCCTTTATGACTTTTTTGCAGGGGTTGGGGGGCGGATAATAACAATGTAGCCCAGGCTGGCTTAAATTCATAATACTCATGCCTTTTCAAGTGCTGTGATATCAGCACCAAATACAGCTTAAAAAAAAAAAAACTTTGATGGGATCTTAAGACTCATTTTAAGGCTATTTTGATATTTATTATTTTAAATGATCTGTATGTGCACATGAGTGTAAGTGCCCAAAGGGTTGTGGGACAGTATTCGTAGGAAGATATAAACAAACATCTGTTCACCCCCGATAGAGAACTGATGACCAAAGTAAGACCAAAGTAAGAATGCCACCAAAATCCAACTTGGGGTTATTTACGGGAACAGAAATGGCTCAGAGACAGCTGCATCACCAAAACATAGCACAGGAGGCAGCTCAGAAAAACTGGGGACTGGCAACACATTGCATACCCTGCATGCAGTTTCAACAAGTTGGAGAGTGTTGGCTGACTCTGCTTCTTCCAGGCTAGTCCAGCTAGTCTGAGAGTGTGTCTAAGCAGTTCTTACTACTTAAGTATGCTAGAGAGAGAGGGCTCTTGTGAATCTGGTCAGTTTCAGAAACTTCTGTCAACTTTTGTATTTCTTTGTGGACTTAGTAAGCGTCCCTGAAGGAAGGAATGCTTCATCTCCCTTACAGCATCCTGTTGTTTCACTTCTATGTATGTATCCTGTATTTTAAGGAGCTTCCCTCCAAGGTGAAAGATTTTAATCTGGCCAGAAAGTGCTGTTCAACAGGAGGCCAGAAGAGGCTATTAGATCCCCTGAAGTTGGTGTTCCGGGTTGTGAGTCACTTGATGTGGGTGCTAGGAACTGAATTCAGGTCCTCTCAAAGCATGTGCTCTTATCCACAGAGCCACCTTTCTAGCTCCTATTTTGAAGCTACTATTGAAACTTCTCTCTGAGATCTTAAGTTTTTCTACTTCTTTTCAGAGCTGGTTAAAAAAAAATTCACTCTTTTCCTAAGGACAATAGAATCTGTGTCCAAGGTGTTAAAGAGTATCAAGAATAATGGGTACATCCAGTTCAGTTCCTGAGCCAAGGCTATTACAGGGTTCACTATGACACAGGCATGTAGCTCATGGCTGAGGCTGTCTCGCAAATGAAGTGGACTTTTGGTCTTTTTACTTATGAATAACTAATAGAAACTTAGTCTTCATATTCATGGTCTTACACATTGATTCAGTGAAGCTCATTTGCACTTTGACTGTGGATCTTGTGCCATGTGGTATGCTGGAGGTTTGAAATGAAAAGTTTATTTTGGGCTCATAAGGCATCTGAGATACTGGTAAGGAGAAAATATTTAACTAAAAAAGGCTGTGACGATAGTTCAGTTGGTAAAGTGCTCGCCCTGCATGCATGAGGAAGGACCACAATTTGATCCCCATTGCTCACATATAAAGCTGGGTGTGGTGATGTGAGTCTGGCTATGGTGACATGTGTTTTAATTCCCATACTGGGGAGAAGGAGACAGGAAGATACCTAAGGCCAGGCCAGCCTACCTGGTGAGCTCCTAACTAAGGAGAAACCCTCTCTTAATGGAACTGCATCGTGATCCTGAAGATTATACCTGAGGTGGGTTTTTTTTTGTTTTGTTTTGTTTTTTTGTTTTTTTTCCCACAAGCACATCTACATGTGTGTGCCTACATGTGTACACACACACACACACACACATGAACACACAAATGTATACACAAACATGCACATATATAAATAAAGCATTAAGAGACTGTAAGATACTTTCTGTGTTTGTGAGAGGGAGAGAAACAGACAGAGAGAGAGAGACAGAGAGAAAGGCATATTTATCTGATGAAGAGATATTCATCAGAGGAAGCAAAATAAGATACCCTAACACAGCTAAGGGAAGGCTGTATGGCAGGAGAGGCCCCAGAAGGGTTGATCTCTGAACACGGACATAATCTCCATAGAGACAAAATCACTTGGGGAATTGATACAGCCAAGTAAGTGTGAGGTGGTGATAGATTCTGATGTTTCCATACTGAATGCTAAAATATGATAGAAATTCCTGCATAATTTTAAATAGGAGAGTAGATTTGATGCAGTTCACACTTAGGTCTGTTGATTAGTTAGTTTATGTATGTATTTACTTTGAGACAAAATCTCACTGTGTAGCTCTGGACATCCTAAAACTTGCTATGTAGAACTGGCTGGTCTTGAATTTATAGAGATCTACTTTCCCTGCCTCCCCAGTACTGGAATTAAAAGCATGGACCATCCTGCTTGGCTAGTTTGTATTTTTTTTGAAGTAGATGTTACATTTACATGGTTGGCTCTAGATTTTTAAAAAAGTAGGTGTAGAGTGAGAAAAATGATTACTCACTCACACTGTTCACCCACAAGCAGAGGCAAGGGAATCTTAAAATCCATGGTCCTGCAGTCACCTTTGCTTAAGCTCCCCTCCCCTCCCCTCCCCTCCCCTCCCCTCCTCTCCTTTCACTCCCTCCCCTCCCTTTCCCTCCCTCCCCTCTCCTCCCCTCCTCTCTTCTCCTCTCCCACACCGGGTAACATTACATCCTCTGTGTGTACCCTGCCTTCCTTCCATCATTCTGTCTTGGTGAGACTGCCCCATGCCATCTTATTAAAAGTTTCCTCTTTTGACCTACCATTTGCTTTAACAATCCACTGCTGATGCTTTAGATTGTTTCCTATCTTTCTCTATGACAGATCTGTGGTGAAGTGTTGGATACAGTATATGGACATTTTCAGTATTCTGGAACCTAAATACTTGAGAGGTGAATGACTAGGAGGCATAAATGCGTGTCAGGAATGGGGAGAGGTGAATGGGTGAAACTGGAGCCAGGGAGACCACAAGCAAGGGTACCTGAGGGTGGAGAAGAGGGAGATCCAAGAAAAATGGATGTAGGAGAGCCAGTGGGGCTAGGAGACCTAAGGATGCTGGGATTTGGGGGTAGAGGGATTCAAGGTCTATTCTTAGAACTGGACTGATACACTGGACAAGTATATTTGATACACATCAGCTGAAAATAACATCATTGAGAAGGCTTAGTGGTTAAGACCACTTGCTGTTGCAGAGGATCCAGGTTCAGTTACAAGCAGCCACATGGCTGCTAATGATCCAGTTCCAGAGCATCTGATAGCCTCTTCTGGCCTTGGCACTGCATGCTTGTGCTGAAGTGCACATATGTACATGCAGGCAAAACACTATTTAAAAAACAGCACCGTTATGACTGGTAAATACATTCACATGATTGAAGTAACCTCTGTCAAAGTGGAAGATACGGCAGGTAGTCCTGTATTTCCAACTTCTTGTCTATCAGCTCTAACTCTACTATGCTTATTGCAAACCCCTTCCCCCAGCTAATTACCTCTTTGATTTTATTCTCTCTTTCTTTGATTGGAAGTCTTGTTTCTATGTCAGAGACATGACAGTTCACAAAATCTGAGAGACCTGTAAACTGACTTTTTTTTCTCATGATTTTAAAGCTATGCTGTGTCTGTAGTGTTCTGTCAGATAGTACAGTTGAAAGCCTATTTTAATAAAGATATAATCATATATCATAAAATTCACTCTTTTGAATTTTATTGAAGTATATAACTCAGTGATTTTATTTTTCAGTGATGTCAAAACCATTATTGCTATCTTATTCCAGAATATTTCAGTGTCTCTGGAAGATACACCGTATCCATTAAGCAGTGATTTCCCTCTCCTGATACCTCACAGCCTCTGGCTGCTACAGACCTACTTTTTTTTTTTCATTAATTTTTTAGTTATTCACTTTACATTCTGATTGAAGCCCCCTCCCCTCCAAGTCCTCTCCTCACACACCTCCTCCCCCCAACCTCCTTCCCTTCTCCTCTTAGAAGGATGAGGTCTCCTCTGGATACCAACCCTGGCACATCAAATCACTGCATGGCTAGATACATCTCTCCCACTGAGGCCAGACAAGACACCCAGTTAGGGGAACAGGATCCACAGACAGGCAGCAGAGTCAGAGATATCCCCTGTTCCAGATGTCTGGGACTTGCATGAAGACCAAGCTGCACATGTACTACATATGTGTGTGGGGCCTACATCCAGCCTGTGCTCACTCTTTAGTTGGTGATTCAGTCTCTGGGAGCCCCCAAGAGTCCAAGTTAGTTGACCCTGTTGCAGACCTACTTTCTGAGTCCTTGCGTTGTCCTGTTTTGAGTATTTTATCATTTTAAAAATTTCTTCTATGTGTGCTGCGCATGTCTGTGTATTCATGTTTGCATCTGTGTGAGTGCGTGTTCACATTGTGTGTAGGTCAGAGGTTGGTATTGAGCATCATCCTCAGTTGGTCTTCTACCTTGTTCATTGGTGCAGAGGAGCTTAGTCAAAGCCAGGGTCTCTGGTATGTCTAGTTTTAGTAGCAGGCATTCTCTGAGGATGGCCTCCTCTCTCCATCTCTTGAGCCTGGAATAGCAGGTGGGCTGCCTTGCTCACCACTGCCTGTAACTCCAGCTTTAGGGCATCCTCACAGGTGTCCCACACATGAGCATACATGCACAGGAACCGTGACACAGACACCCAGACATACATAAAAAAAAAAGATTGAAATCTTAAAAAAGGAAAGAATACAGTTTTTCCTTACCTCTGTAGTTCACTATTGCAGTTTTTCCAGGACTGTGTCCTTTGCATGTCCTAATCTGTTGTGAGGTTCAACAAGAAAGAACACTTCCCAAAAGAATTTTCCCTTCTTTATCTGACCTGTGATTTGCTGTCATTGATGTGTGGAGTGATTTTGTGTGTGTGTGTGTGTGTGTGTGTGGGTGTGTTCTGTTGTTTGGATGTGTGGGTGCACTTATAAATACATGCATATATGGGTGGCAGAGGTTGACATTAGGTGTCTTCCTCAATTGCTTCTCCGTTTTATTTTATTATTTTATTTTTGAGGAGCGTCTATCACTGAACCTTGAGATCATGATTCAGTCAGACTTGCTGGCTATTGAACCCTTGGAATCCTCCTGTCTCTGACCTTGCATCCCCACCACTACTGGGGTTACAGATCTGAGCCACCATACCTCGCTTTTATGTGGCGGCTAAGGATCCACACTCAGGTCCTGTGTTTCTGCAGCAGGCACTTTACTGCTGGACCATCTCCCACAACCATGATTTTATTAGTTTTGGAGAGATCTCTGTGGTGGGAGTTTTACGCAGTGGGCATTGGATATGTGCTGAGAGCTTTGCAGCCTACACAGATACACTTTGCTTTTGATGCATGATGCCCAGTGTTTCCCCTGTTACTGCAGATGGTCCTCATCCCTGCTGGAGTATTTACAATGGGCACTGATGAGCCTCAGATCAAGCAGGATGGAGAAGCCCCTGCCAGGAGAGTCACTGTTGATGCCTTTTACATGGATGCGTATGAAGTCAGCAATGCTGATTTTGAGAAGTTTGTGAATTCAACTGGCTATTTGACAGAGGTATGGGTTTGGGAATGGGAGGGAGAGCCAGCTGTTTCCTAGAACACGCAGGAGGAGTTTAATAGCTACAAACACTGAACACTTCCTTTGTGCCCAGCACTGTGATGAACACTTCCTTTCTTTCTTTTGTTTAATTTCTCCTAGCAGTTCTATGATGTAACACGCTGAGCGTCAACACTGCTATGACCTAACCATATACTGGTCAGTGATTGTAGACAGTGTGGAGCACAGCCATGTTCCTAACCCTCCTCAGTACTGTGGTAGTGTTTTAATCCACCTGAGAGGGCTGCTGCTCACAAGGCTTTCTGAGGACACAGGTGGCGAGTAATTCTTCTCAGTGTATCAGCCTGCCTGTCCCACAGGCATTACACATTTCATAAATGGTCAGGTGCCTCAGTGCAGCTTCTTGTCGTTGTAGCTTTATTCCAGTGTGTTGGTGACTCAGCAGCCTTTCCCAGAGGTCACTGAATCCATGCAAAGGGGTTGATTTTCTAGTTTATGACTGTTTCTGTAAGAATCTCAAATGTTCGTGGTTCCTAAATCTGTTCCCTGTTTATCTTTAAAACCTTTACCCTTTTATTCAGTTTGTGGAGACCTAACTTAAAAAAATTGGCTCCTAACACCTCCCCTTTTATATTTCAAAAATTCATTTGGGAGTGAATGCCAAAGGCAAACCAGCATTTGGGTTCAGTTCTGCACTGCCTCATTTCTTTGGAATTTCCTAAAATATACCAAGTGGTGGTAAATCTTGGTTGTAGATATTTGTAGTAAGCTAAAGTCTCTATTCTTTTTATTTAATCTTCTTAGCTCAATTCATAATCTAAGTTAAAGAGAGGGAGTAAAGATGGGAGGGAGAGAGAGAAACAGAGAGGGGGAGAAGGAGAGAGAGAGGGAGGGAGAAAGAGAATAGGGGACCATAGAGGCCGGGAGGGTGTTGGATCTCCTGGAGTTAGAGGTCCTGGTGGTTGTGGGCTGCTGGAATTCCACTTTATTTTGTGAAAGAGTCTTTGTTTGAACCTGGAAAATGCACTTTTGGCTAGACTGACAGACCAGTGAGCCTGGAATCTACCGAGCTCTGCCTCCCAAGCTTCTAGCACTGGGATCACAGATGTGTGTAGCCAGGCTTGTCTCCTTCTTAGTCAGTAAAGATCTGGATAGTTCGTGCCTTAACCACTGAGCCATGTCTCCAGCCCTAGAGGAGTTGTAAAGAAGGAAGGCTTCACAGAGCAGAGTTCTTCTGGAAGATTAATTGGTAGGTGAGAATGGAAGCTATCTGAGAATGAGGATGGGAAACACTATATCTATTAAAAAGGACAGAGACCATACCCATGAAATACTGACAACAGTAGTCTCTGGTTTAGCCCTAGACCAGGAATGTGATAGGTGTTGTATATGTGTTCATTGAGTGACTAAGTGCTTTGGGTTGCTAGGCATCATGGTGTCACTAGGAACACATGGATACTATCAGGGGTGAAGAAAACTCATCTCTAGTCAGTAAAAACAGTCTAGAGGCTCTTGTGAGGCCTGATGTTCAGGCATCAGGACTCAGTTAACTTTATCTGAGGTGAGGATAGGTTTAGAAGGGGACACTGGGGACATTCCAAGTACTGGTCTTGGTTGAAATGAAGAGACTGGAGGATCTCTGTGCATTTCTTTTGAGCTTGTTGTGTTAGAACTACTTCATTTAACAGAGGCAGTTTGTTCTGGCCTCCTTCCAGCTCCATAATTAGAGTCTCTGGGATTGGTGAGCAGCAGTCTGAGTCCAAGCTGCTGTGGGAGCTCAACTGGACAACTTGGAGCCACTGGGCTAGAGTAAGAAGTTCACATAGGCCTGTGCAGAGCTCTGGGAAGCCCAGGAAGGCAAGCCTTATGTTGCGTGGATTTGTAAGAGCAGTGGGCTGTGTAGGAGGAAAACTAGACAGTAGAGTCATAGGAACTAAAGGACAAAGATCCCACTTTCAGAGCTGATGTCAATGAATGTTTGTGATACTACTGTCAAAAAATGATTAAAATACAGATTTACACCTCATGCTTAGATTGATCCCTTGACAACTGTAAACACATAGAACGAACATATCAGAGAATCAACAAGTTTGTCTTTTAGATAGATCCCAGGAGCAGGGCAGAGAACAAACAGCTTGCATCTGTAATATTATATATATTAAATGATATCATTTCTCAGAGTTATTTACAATATTGGGAGAAATATGTTTCCTTTCACAGGGCATTCATCTTCTTAGAATCTAATCTCATGCAGCCTTGCAGTCTTATCAGCTAATCAGGTCTCACATGAGAACAGTCTCATGAGAGACATGAACCTGCTTTAAGAGGAACTTAGATACTTTAAAGTCACTTTGAGAACCCATAGGGAAATCCTGCATTCACTTGCTTAGGAAGAATCACCACAGTAGCATAGGGAAGAAATTGGGACCCTGGACGCCTATAATTTTAACCTTTTCTGGCTTTTTCTTTTTTTATTCTCTTTATAGGCTGAGAAGTTTGGAGACTCTTTCGTCTTTGAAGGCATGTTGAGTGAGCAAGTGAAAACACATATCCACCAGGCAGTAAGTAGTGTTCAAACAGACTCTCATTTCTCTGGGGCTCATCAGAACATAAGTACTACCTTCCTCTCCCTCCTGGTGCCTAGCCATTCTCCCACTGAAGATTTGTCTCTGAATCACAGGTCCATGGGCCAGGGTACCTTCTCTGGCTGAAAATGTACAGGGCCAGGAAGATGCCTCGTTTCTGCTTGTGCCTGAGAGTGACACTGTACTTCAGAGTAGAATTCAGTCCTGTACTTTGTGTTCTACTTGCAGCCGTTTTTAGAATGGAGGATAAATGAGAGCTACAGACTTCTGTTTTCAAAGTCTTAATCTTGGCAAGGGCTGGTGAGGAGCTAGAGTTTCCCAAATATTCATGAATCTCTCTGTGCAGACTCAAGTCCACAGAAGGAGCACCTTTGCTGTGAATGTTCATAACTAATGGGTGCTGGAAACTAGGCCTTAGAGGAAGGGGTATGCCAGCTTGTACAGAGTAAATACAAGGGTGTGAATTAAGCCTGTTTTTCTCAGACATGGAGAGTATTCACTAGGCTCTGTAGTAAGTACTGTGTGTCTGAAAGAACTTGGGAATCTTGGGTCAGGCAGTTTAACAGGTCTGTTTTTTTTTTTTTTTGTTTTTTCCCCAAGACAGGGTTTCTCTGTGTAGCCCTGGCTGTCCTGGAACTCACTCTGTAGACCAGGCTGGCCTCGAACTCAGAAATCCACCTGCCTCTGCCTCCCAAGTGCTGGGATTAAACACCGCCTGGCTGTTTAGCAGGTCTGTAAATAATATTTGTTTGTACATGGATATGTAAAAACAAGAGAAAACAAATTCAGCTGGGACATCGCGAGTTCTCACAGCATAGTGGGCAGAGACTGAGGAGCACGAGACAGTGAGAGAGAGTGGGTCTCAGGGGCCTGCCGATTCAAAGAGGACAGATATAGAGGGTGACGATAAACAAATCTCACCTTAGTCTTCCTCTTTTATACAAGTTACCTTTAAATCATTCATGCCTGGGGACTGGAGAGATAGCTCCGTGGTTAAGAGCACTGGTTGCTCTTGCAGAGGACTCCTGTTCTATTCACACACTGGCATGGAGGCTGGCAACTATCTACAACTTCAGTTCTGGCGGATCTGACTTCCTCTTCTGACCCCCACAGGCACTGCATGCTTGTAGTGCACAGAGATACAGGCAGGCAAACACTGCCCCCCCCCCCCCACTAAAATAATAAAATAAAGTCCTGCCTGAGCTTCATCCTAAAGTATTTGTTTTACTGTGTCCTTTCCTGGGAGTAGCAGCATCAGGAAATGAACCTCTTTTAGCTCTCACTTTCTCTTGTATTCCAAGTATTGTAGCCCAACTTGGGGTAGGGGGAGGCGGAGTAATTATGACTTGGTCTCAAATGGTATTTTGGTGAGTCAGGCTAGTTTCCTTGCTTGTTTTAGTAACTGTTTAAAAGATATGATTGAACTCCTTTTGGATTCCAGTTTTCTCATTGCCAGTTAATATGTCTCTCATATAGTCTGATACCCAGTACCTCCACTGTTTTTGTTTTTTGTTTTTTTTTTTTAAATAGCATCTGAGTTCAGCTCAGGGTAGTGGTGATGACCCAGTAGGCTTTGAGGGGGGTGGCTCCTGTTTTAAGACACAGGGTTCAGATGAGGGATCCCATCTGTGCCTGTTTCTGTAATTTGGCTTTCTGATGGAAGGTGTCATGTCTCTTAGGAACCACTCACATATCAGTCGTGAAGGCAGATGTGGAGCATTGCTAGGCTCCAGAGGTGCCCTGAGTCATAGTGAGGGGTGTGTGTGCTGTAGCTAGGATGAGATCAAGCACCTCTCACCTGGACGAGGGGTTGGTCTCATGCCTAAATGCTTATAATGGAAAAGCAAACCTTTTAAGGTTGTTTTGAAAAGGTTGAACAAGTAAGGAAGTCTGTTGATGGTCTGGGAGGGCTTTATGGCATTTCCCCGTTGACCTGACTTACCTCTACTCACTGGAACTTTTGTAACTTCCCATTTCTATAACGTTGGGTGAGAGATGTCTATGAGATAAAGTTAGGTCACCTTTAAGAAGTGGATGAGACAGTGGGCGATCACCAGGAGTTACAGTACCCTCCCCTTTCATGGATCTTCAGGCCTTAAGTCAAAAGAAAGGCTCATTTGTGTTCTGCTGTGTCCCTAACATTTCATAGTAGTTTGATATGAACATTAAAAAAAGGGTGTAGGAACCTTGCTGACACTGTAGTAACTGATAAAATAATGTAGCAATTGTGTTTATTTTTATGTGGTTATTTTCAGGGTTGTATTCTGTTTATGCTGGTTTACACTAGTGGTATGAATTGTCTTTTTTTTGTTGTTGTTGGTTAATAAAACACAAATACAGGAAGTCACCTGATTTCAATGTGTTACTTAGGACATTACCTTAAGGTGGACCACACTTGTCCCTATAACTTGATCAGGAACTAGATTTGCTTCCTGCTCTCATCCCAGCCAAGTGGGTTCTTCCTTATGTTTCAATATTGTATTGTCACTTCAGGCTATACCTTAAGTAGAATCATGCCCTTTAAAGAGTTTTTTGTTGAAGGCATTGCTAATATGCTTCCCATCACATCCCCCGTTTATCTCCTCATTAATTTTACCCTCTAAAGAACACAGAGCCAGCGTGTAGACTTTCTCAGTCTGGATTTTGCTGATTGGCAGCTTCAGTACAGTTTACCTGTTGTCTCTGGTCTGTGTTTCCTGTAGATGGTAGCTGTGCTCCAAAGTGTGATCAAATTCACGGTGTACCTGTGTCATGAATATCACAGTGGTGTTCTCCTATAGCACAGTAGTTCTCAACCTGTGGGTCTCCATCCCACAGGGCAGCATCTCAGATATACTGCGTATCAGGTATTTACACTACGATTCAAAACAGTAAGAACGTTACAGTCATAAAGTAGCAACTGAGTATTTTTCTGGTTGGGGGTCACCATGACATGAGCAAGTGTGTCAAAGTGTCACAGCATTGGGAAAGTTGAGAACCACTGCTCTAGCAGGAAGCAGGTAATGTCTATTCCTTCTTTTTTTTTTGTCATATAAGCTGATGCTATGCTTAGGGGCTAAGTCCATAAATTTACTGGCATTGTAGAGGATGGGAGCCTAGGTGTTTTTAGTTTATTGATGGGGATACTTTCATAAAGTGATAGTTCTCCCACAAACTGTTTTCTTAACCATTGGTTACACAGTGGTGACCATTGTTACACAATGTAACAGTGTCAATTACAATTACAATTAACATGTAATTGTGTAACCATTGGTTATACAATGTGGTTACACAAGAATGATAGGTAAATGCATGATTGTTTACTAGTTTTAAGAAAATGAATTAGTGGACTAGAGAAATGGCTAAGTGGCTGCTCTTCCAGAGGACTCAGGTTCAATTCTCAGCTCCCACACGTGTGCTAACAACCGTCTCTAAATCCAGTCCAAGGGGATCTGATACTGTCTTCTGGCCTCTGTTGACCACTATATGCACACAATGCACAAACATACATTGAGGTAACATATCCATACACAGAAAATACAACATAGAAGTAAGCAAATTGGTTGCTTATTATTCTTCAAAGGTGGCTAGATAGATCTACTTCTCACATACCACCAAGGTGTGTGATTGAATGGAAGCTCCTTTGTGTGTGTGTGTGTGTGTGTGTGTGAGAGAGAGAGAGAGAGAGAGAGAGAGAGAGAGAGAGAGAGAGAGAGAGAGAGAGA